GTGCCCCTCAGAGCCAGGGCCTGACCGCCCATGCCTGACTTCTCAGCAGCTCAGCTGCCTCTGAGAGACAAAAGGAGCCCTTTACAAGCTCCAGGCAGGTATCATCATTCTGGTACCATCATTCCAGTATCATCATGATAGTCTCCAGTATCATCATTCTCTTTGTATATATACCTCTTCAATGTTTCTTATCCAATTTTTAATATTGTCAAAGGACTTTTCATTTGTGATGTCATAGACCAGCATAATTCCCTATAGGAGAAAAAAGATCTTTATTTAGTACTTTATATATTTAAAGTTATAAATATAATGTAACATACTCCTCTCCCACTAGAAACCAAATCCTTTTATTGGTTTTCATAAAAAGGATTCACAATATTTTAAAGTGAACAGAAGCAAAAATAATAAATTCTTCCGCTGTCTCACCATGTAAATAAATACTGTTAACATTTTCACTGTTAACCTTTAATGAATTAGTGATTACGGTAAAGGTGATACACCCTTTCTACCTGACTTCACATGATAAGAACTGGCACCAACTAGAGCTGAAAGCGTGTTTAAGTTAAAACAGGTAACATTGAGAGTAAGAGGCAATCACTTCAGTTGTGCATGTGTTTATTCCAAGTAGAAACTGTCTTGCTTCTTACCTATACTAAGATTGTAACCATACTGCTTTAAAATTATTTCTTTTTATATGGGCTGATCAAAATGTCATCATCTAAGTACATCACAGACACTTAAAATATAATGTATTTGTTATACGAGTTTAATGAAAGGCATTGCCATCATATTTTTAAAGGTCCCATGGCTGATATTTCTAAAAGGTCTATCTTCTAAATGTTTCAACTGACACCTGTATGCTAACTATTCTAAAATCTGTATTACCAGACCACCCTTCTGTACTAAGTGCTAGATTCATCCACCTGTCCAGCCATTCCACAAATACTTAGTGAGCACCTACTATGTGCCCGATACTATACTAAGTACTACCATCAGTGAACAAGTTGGACAAGGCCCCTTCCTCTCATGGATGGCTAATAAAGAGAACAATGAATCAATAATTATACAATTAATTATAATTTTGACAATTGCTATGAAGAAGCATGAGTAGCTCTGTGTACGAATGCTAATCTAATCTGGCTGAGGGGCTGGGGTGGTCAGGGAAGGCTTCCCTGAGAAAATGACATAAAGCCAACACTTGAGTACTAAGTAGACATGAACTGGGCAAAGGGGTTGAGGCAGGAGTAAAGAGGGGAAGCCCACAGCCCCTGGTACATAGCAGAAATGTTACAAATATCTTGCTGACTAGGAAGGCCCAGAATCCATTGTACTGAGTGAAAGAAAGTCGTCAGCTTGGCAAGAATGCACATATCTAATGGGAGAAGAGGACACGATGAGGCCAGAGACAGAAGTCAGAGATGTGCCTTGGAGACCACTGACTGGCCTTACGCTCCCAGATGTCCCCTGTGGTCATAAAAAACTCAACTCAACTAAGTAAAACACCAGGTTGTCTTCCTCCCTTCTAAATCTTTCCTTTCTTCTTATATTCTTGCTTTGATGATGGGCAATACGATCCTGCCAGTCAGCCCAAGCAGACCTCTAGAAGTAATCTCCTCCACAGGCAGGCAGGCAGGCAGGCAGTCAATCACTAAGTCCTGTAGGCCCAATGACCTCAATATTTCTAGAATCTGATCCTCTCTCCACATGAATTTATATCTTTGGTTTCAATAGCAAATGCCCTTTGACCATTTCCTATGTAAACTAACATATTATGAATCAGTTGGAAATACACTCAAGTATACTAGTTAAAATTTTATATATCTGGTATTACTTATAATAACAACAGCTTCCTTAGAGTTTATAAGACATTGTTCATCTATGAGAAATGTTGATAAAGCAGGAATATAGCCCTTTTCCCCACAAAGCCCAACTGTCCATCAAGGTTACCACTATGTCTACAAATGTTGCTGAACAATTTGAAATAGACCGAAGGACTCTGCCATGCTGGCAGACTCCAGTACAGTGCTTATCAACATGCTATATGACTGAGCCAACCAAACTAAACCTGCCAGAACCGGCACCTGCTGAAATGAGAAAACACCCCAACGAGAACATGATGGTCCCACATCCCAATGGAACCAATGACCTCCAAGATCCAAGACTCAAGTAGAGCTGGGTTTCCTGAAGCCTCATCTAAGACTGTCTCTAGGTGTGAAATTTTCCACCGATTCACCCCTTCAGCAAGTATTTATTGACCATCTACTCTGTGCCAGGAACTGGCATTACAACAGAACAAAAGAGACAGGAACCTCTATCTTCAAAGTGAAAAGACAATATTATCTTAGAATGGCAGCAATTTCTCATTATTTGAAGTAATGTGAAGTAAGACTAGGAAGTAGATAAATAAAAAAGCCAGATAACCCTCAAATCTAAATTAAATGACACATTTCAATGACCTCTTTCCTTGGACCGTGAACTAGAGCTAGACATCCAAGGGAACCGTGCTTCACATTCTAAATGTCCCTGACAATTCTCTGGTGAAAACAAGCACACAAGTGCTATCAATACATCACTCCTGGAAAATAAAAAACTGGCCTATAGAAAGGCTATGTTTATATGATGCCTCTAATCAAAATTACCTGTAAACTATTCCAAATCATCCCTGTTAAGATGTTCTTATTTATCCTAAAATCCTTCCTGGGGGAAACAACCAACCAACAAACAAACTTCTTATTGGCTCACAGATACGTCCCTTGCCTTTGATTTCAGTCTAAGCAAAATAAAGAGTAGCTGACAACTGTCTTTCTTAAAATGATGGCCTTTCACAATCTTAAAAGTATTATAGGGTAAAGTGTGGAGAACACATACATATAAAATGCTTAGTGGTGTATAGTGCCAAGGTGATATGGCTTTGAGAAGGTATCCCCAATATTTTTGTGGGAATGAATTATTGGTACTCAAATAATAGACGGTAGCAGTGGAAGAGGAAGGGAGGGTAGCATAATAATGAAAGAATCTATGGATTCAGATCATATCTTCCTGAAGACAAGGGGATAGCTATCACCCCTACAGTTCTGTCACCCTGACACCACTCTCAGGAGCACAAGTCTTTCAAGCGATGAGCTGGGGTAGCTGGTATCCCGCAATCTCCTATGTTAAGGGAGCTTTATGATCTCAACTGCTCAGCCTTCCGAGATGCTCTGGGCACGCAGGGTTTCACCATAATTCGAAGCTCCACCCAGTGCTTGGATTAGGCCTAAAAGCCAAAGATAAAGCCCTGGTCTGGACCTGATGTTCTTGGCATGGTTCAAGACAGCACTTTTAAGCTGCCTTATTCGCCGTAGTACTCGCAGTACCACACAGAACCTGCCCCGAGCAAACAAGCAATATAAATGGCTTGTAGAGATGACGCACCTTAGGATGGAAAATAACCAAGTGATGAGGTTATACTAACAAGGATAACGCTAGGATGTAGCAAAGAAGGACTTGGTAGTCAAAATTCACCAGATTCTAAGCCTCAAAGAGTCACAGACCATTCGGCTACTTCTTGGCCAGCTGGCAGGACAATGGTGGAGGAGACTCCAGAGAGCTGAGCCATTAAGAGTGGATGGTGTGGACGTGGTGAGATAAGGAATGATGGTGCCAGGGCTAAATGATGGGAAGGAGCAAGAAACAGTCACAGAGCTTGTGGTTTACTGAGATTTGGCAAAGGTATTAATAAAAGGAAAAATCACAAAAATATAGTCACTCAGAATGTGTGAGGAGTTCTAAAACATCTATAAGCTAATTATCTAATATATATTATGAAGACCAAAGGCAAAGTATACAGTTACTAAACACGAAACATAAAAATCCCTTTAAACATCTTGTTTTCATATAAAGAATTTATTTTCCCCTTTGCATTAGACTTCAGTTTGAATCCTATAAACCTGACAAATGAATACTCATGTTTTACTTTCACCTGAAGAGTTACAAAGCCCTAAAACACACTCACCATGGCTCCTCTATAATATGCTGTCGTGATGGTTCGAAATCTTTCCTGACCTGCTGTGTCCCTAAAATTTGAAACAAAGGAGAGAATGGTTTTAAAAGTCATCACCAGCTTGACTGAGGAGAGACATTAAGCTGTAGGAGATATAATTCTGGTCTGCTCACAAATGCAATGGTTTCAGGGGACAAGGGGAATGAGATACAAAGGGGGCCTGTTGTGTATCTGTGAGCTGGAGGCGGTGGTGACCATGGGAGCCTGTCAAGAGCTCACAATGACTTCAGTGAAAAACTTGGACCTTGACGATAAAAGCCATCAACAGGAAAAGCCATGGCCTGCTAGGAACTGGCATGCTGTATTAGTCGAACCCATGTGGGAGAGAACAGAGAATAGTTCTAAATTCTTGGACTCCCAGAGGTAGTTATAATCCTTTTTATACATGCCTAATGATTAAGGCATTTTGCTCTCTCGACTGAAAGTCTGTACAAAGAAGCAATTGGGCTAGACTTAGTACTGTGTAAATTCTGCCCAGCAGAGCACACTAAAATGGATCTCCTCAAGAACTTTCTCAGCTATGGAACCCGTGATTAAATGGGAACCTAGAGTTCAATACATAATTATTGACAATGTCTCCAAAGGCTTTAAAATATGAACAACACCTCAAAATAACATAAACTTTCATATATTCTTGCTTTTTAGCTGATGGCATACCATTAGAATACAATCTAAAAAATATAAGTTTATAATTACATTTATTGAAGCAATCCCTATATAGCAGGTCAAATTTCCTTGATATCTGGGAAAATCAATATTCCTCAATTTGCCTCTTACCACCAGAACTAATTCACCCCCTGTGCTACTAAGACAAACTAAATTGTACAATTTAATTGTAGAGAAGAAAGAGGCTTTTGTGAAAGTATACTAGAAATCTAATATATGCCAAACCCCAAAGAGAGATGAAGGCCCACGAGAAATACAGTAAATTAAAAACATTACTAAATCCCTAACACTTATGTATACTTTACAAAAAATTCTCACATGGTGCTTACATGCCTACCATAGCCCAGTATGTGGTATTATCATCATCCTCATTATGCAGAAGAAGAAACAGGCTTGGGTGGGCTGTGGTCCCCAGTTCTGCCACTAAACAGCTCATACCTTTAAATGAGACTCAAGCCTCCTAGGTCTCGGCTGTTTAGCGCAGAGCCAGGCCTCACACCACAGTCATCTTATCCTACTCTTCTCTCACTGATCAGCATTAGCTACTTAGGGCACTTGTTTGGTACATGGCAAACAAATCATGGGGAAAATACAAGCCAAGCACCTTTGAGCAGGTTAACCATATTTTGATTTTAATACACTACTTGATTTAGAACCAGTTAAGCAATGAGGCTGAAGGGGAAACCTTACCATATTAAATGTAGGTTGTGAAGACTAAATAGAGACTACTTCGCTGCTTAGAGCAGCCATAAGAAGTATCATGTTATATCACATTCTAATTAGCTGATCACCCACAGGCTCCTAGAAACTCCCCCTATTACTTATAATCAGCACCGTATATCACAGAATCAGAAATTCTCTTTGCTTCCCCCTTAAAATTTTTTCTATATCTTTAAAATATTTGGCCTCTTATTAAACACCAATAGAGAAAAAGGGTAGCCTGTGGTAACCTTCACAATGTGACAACGTATACTGGGAACCACCATACTAGGCTAGTATATGAGGCTGACACAATGTTCTAGGAGATGTGGGTACCTGTCCGAGCTTTATCACTGACTCAGACATATGCCCTCAGATAGACTTAACCACTCTAAGTGCTAGTTTCTTCCACTGCAAAAGAAGGGCTAGTGAATTTCAATATAATGTTCCAGTTCTATCCCCGTTCTGAGATTCGAAGAGGAAAAATAGTCTGAGAAAAAAGTTCATATATATTACTTGACCATTTGCCCTGTGTAGCTTTAACTTTCTATGTTTTATCTATAGTTGTCATCATCACATGTTAGATCATTAAAAACCTTCCTCAAAGCTCCAAATCTATAGGGCTCCATGGAAGGCCCTATACTGAAATGAAATAAATTAAACCAGCTTACAGGAGGTTAAAAAAAAAAAAAAATCTATGAAGTGTTTCTGAGGTCAAGCCAAAAATATTCAAACTGGCAATCTGGAAGAACGATATTTATTCGTTGCAGTTTGACAAATTCTTCAGGAATTTATCAGAGTTGGGTGAGCATAAGGAGATCTTTGCCTTGCATACTGCAACATGAAAGATGAGCGGCATGACTTTTTTCTCTTTTATTTCCCAGTCCAGTGTTCCTCATTTTTTATTTAATGAGAAGAAATATGCATCAGAGCTGAATGGGAACTCAGCTATCATAAGTCTAACCAATCAATTTACAAATGAGGGAAAGAAGGCCCTAAAAAGAGAAGCAACTGGCTCCAGGTCTTCAACTGAGGACGTCTTGGTTACAGCCTAGATGTGCACATCCTGTTCAGGGTTCCTAACACTTGACTACTTTGCCTTATCTGATTTCGCAGCTGCAACAACTACAATGAAAAAGTAGTTTATACTCGAGAATTTAGTTTCCTCCCCTATAAAATTAGCATTTTGGAAGAATGAGCTCTCAGATTTCTTCTGGCTGTGGGTTAGTGATATCATTCCCCACCGTCCCACTCTTGGTAGAAAGACCTTTGAATACTTCTTACCCATTTCCTCTTGGTTCTGATAAACAAAAGATGTTTTAGCTATCGCAAGATACCTCAAACTTATCACAATGCACATTTTAATTCTTGACTAAAGTAGAAACTGTGTATACATATATTTGTATATGTGTATAAATATATATATATTTACTTACCATATCTGAAGCTTAATTTTCTTTCCATCTAGTTCTATCGTTCTGATTTTAAAATCAATTCCTGCCAGAAAAAGAAAGACATGATAAATTTCTTCAAATATAATTCAAGTTTTAATAGCAAATGGACAAAGATTTCTATTGGAAAAAAAAAAAAAGCTCTCCAACGCACTGGAAAATGTGAACACAGAGCGGGTGTTAATGGTATGTTTCCTCTGCATACAGGCTGAAGAAAAGAATGCTAATTACTCTGCAAAGAATTGCACACATGTTAAATGCAACGTATTATTTTGACATAAATGAATCATATCCCTCACAGTTACATAATTTAGACAGACTGAGAATGAGCTATATTTTCTACTTCTTGAAATACATATAAACAATGTTTCCTACCCTTCGTACCCCATCTTTTCTTGAAGAAGGCCATGGGACCTCTTCACAATGTCCTCCATCTCCTTCCATTTGTTTCCTTAGAATCTGCAAATGGCTAAGCATGCATGCTTGCGTGTGTCACACACACACAACCCCAAACAAAACAAACAAAAACATGTCTATTTGAATGCAGGGATGGGAAAGCCTGTATTTTATACGGTTAGCAAGTATTTCACATACATTTTAACAAATGTTCCCACCATCTTACGGTCTTTAGCTCTGGCTGCACTTGAGACTTACCTGGGAAACTTAAAAAAAAAATACTTATAACTAGGCCTGCTCCTGTCCCCAAATGCTGAGATTCTGACTTAACTGGTCAAGAGCAGAATCTGTGCACTTGTAATTTTCAAAGCTCCCTAGGTAATTCTAGCCTAAAACCAAAGTTAAGAAGCACTCAGTTGTGCCTAAGAGGTAGCACTGAAGGTCATTTGAGACTCTGGCACTCCAAGTTCAACCCCTCCCTCATCTATTTCCCCAGACTAAGGTAGCTTGAAACTTATTTAGCAATTCAACTGCAAAGAACCACAAAGTCCTGGGCATATATCAGCATGTTCTGTCATTTATCAGGAACAAGCTGCTGCTACTCTTTCTGAAGGGACCAGCCAGTGAATACGATTCTACTGCATTTGCTAAATCCTCATCACCTGGCTACTCAGCTTTGTTTCAGGTTTTTCAATTCTTTTGCATTCTTTACAGGACTCTGTACAGTGGTTTCCAAGACATTTCAAAAAAACATGTCAATCATGTATCCTCTAAATTGACTTAAATATTAACGGCAGTTATTTGGTGTAGAAGAAAGCCTTCAACGGCTACATTACCACAATGTTTCTACATATCAACATTGAGATCACCCCAAAAGGCTTGCCTGCCAGCTCCAGCTTCATACAATGCCTCGGCATTAACCAAGCGGGTTTCCCCCCTCTTCCCCCACAGTACTTTCCCCCCAGGGACCCTTTTTAGGTACTCCTGTGCATCTTGAAATAGACAACAATCACATGCCAGCTAATTTAGCAGGAGGACAGCATCTCAATCATTCTTTCCCCTAATAACCATTGTTATTGTTAACAAATACAATCTGAGACCCAATATCCCCAGATCATCTGGCTCACGTTTCTTCCAGGGTACCCCAGTATTGCAGGGTCTGCGGTGGCAAAAGCAAAACTCAGCAACACAGCATGAATATTACTGTTGGCATCACACAGAATTTACTGAGGCCATCGCTCATTTTAGACTTAATACACACTAATTTTTATTGTGATTTATCTTTTTATACATCTCCAGTGTAACAAAGACCTTCTAGGCATTCTCCACTATCCTATATCCCTTTTTCGCCCAAGCACCAAGAGCAATGCCCAACAGGCACTCAATAAATGTTCCTTGATATTAACATTTTTGAAAAAGTTATAATTTTCCAAATTCATAGAAACAGAAAATAGAATGGTGGTTACCAGGGGCTGGAGAGAGGGGGAAAAAGGAGAGTTGTTGTTCAATGGGTACAGTTTCGGATTTGCAAAAGATAAAAAAGTTCTGAAGATCTGTTTGATAACAATGTGAATATACTTAACGCTATTGAACTATATACTTAAAAATGGTTAAGATGGTAACTTTTATGTTTGTTTTTTTTTTTAACCACAATGAAAAATAAAAAGATCTACGACTTTCAAAATACCAACTATATATCTGGAAAATTAGCTTTCTCAATTGGAAGGCTAATATCTAACATTCCATTATTTAGTAGTTCATTCACATTTTAAATAAGAGACTATGTATGTCAAAATGCCTATCTAAATGAATACTTTCCTTATTCTGGCTCACTAAGATTGTAACTCCTATTCTTTCAAGGTTGTTTTTGCCTGTAGTTGGGAGTCATGGGCAAATTTTCCACCTTCAACAAAGCCATTTTGAGGCTCCTTAAAGTCTCAGTTACTCTCTATTCAATAAAAACATTTAGGAAACTTTCTACTGACCTAGTCGTTTTTGTTTTGTTTTGCTTTGTTTTTGTATCTGTTACAAGGATTACCTTTCTGTTACCTGAGAAGGTACTACCATTATCTGAGATACTTAACCATCTTTTCACTATTCAGAGGTTTTCAATGTTTTGTAAGAGTTGAGAACTTGTATTTTAACTTTTTTTTAATCTGGCTGTCGGCAGCCAGTTGATAGACAAATGCTGCTGAACACAGACAAATTAGCATAACTTTAATTTCACTAAAAATGGAAAAATCATTTTATTATTATTAAAAAGCTAGTTCTGGAAGTCAAAAGACATAGATTGTAGGTTGGGTTCTGTCATTATCAACTTTTGGGAGGTTGCTTAACTGCTCTGAAGCTCTATATTTTCAACTGTAAAACAGGTTGAGAGGATTTAATTAGATAAATTAGATAATATGTATGAGTGTGCTATGGGAACTCTGAAATTCCATATAAATATGAGGTATTTATTATCCTGATTTTATTATCCTGCAGCTCTTGTCACTTCATGCACAGATTATGTAACAGCTTCCCAGGAGGCTCTGCCAACCTTCCTTCTTGGTCTAAGTCTCCTGCAAGCCACTGTGAGAATAACTTTCAACAACCCCAGTGATAATGTCACCTCACTAAGAAGCTGTGGATCCAACTTCCAAATTCCTCGGCCTGGCAAGGAATTTCCCACCAGATACACCGCTCTCCTGAAGCTTGTAATTCTCAGAACCTCTATCTAACTTTGGCTTTCTGTTTCTCTAAGTGGGCCCCACACCTCCTCCCCTTTGCATGTGCCACCTCGCTTGGCAGACTTCTTTGAGAATGCCACTCTACCCGTATAATCCTCTTCCTCCTTCCTTCCTTAGCTCTCCACTCAACCATGTCTATCTATGCCTACTTCAAGGCCTGGCTTTTGCATAGTAAGTCGATCCTGTGTTATTGGGTTTAACATATTGCTCTGAATTGCTCTTGCATCAGGCAAGGGCTCCATCCTTTCTGCCAGTTATGCTGCACACAGAAACATGTATACAGTAGACACAAAATAAAAGGTTTTGTCATACTCTTAATTACATAATTACATAATTACTCTTATGTAATTATGTAAAGGTTAAATTCTACTAAGCGTAGAGAGAGCTATGAAACCATGTAAATTCAAAGTTTTCTTAGTATATATACTACAGTAACAATAGTAAGGATGCTGAGAAATATTATTACAGTAAAAAAATGAAGATCTTTATATTACAATTAGTTTGATAATAATATCAGTAGACTATACAGTAGATTAATATTCACTTTAAGATTTAAAGGAAAAGTAACTTCCTGAGACTACTCCAGGATTAAAAGAACAACCAGTCATAAGAACAGTAATACAATTATATCAATTATGATGCTTTCTGCTGCAAATAACAGAAACCCCAAATCAAACTAGCTTATGGGAATTTGTTGACTCATATAACAAGCCCAGTGGTGAGTTGAGGTTCAGAGATGGCTCAGTCCAGTAGTTCCGGCTCATTTCTCTGTACCGCTTTTGGCTCTACCCTCCTGGGACTATCAATTTCATCCTCTGACTGATAGCAGTTCCTGACCACAACAGTAATACAGAGGAGAAAAGAGATCATCTTCCTGTGCCTCTCTCTTAAAAGTGAGGAAATATTTCCCCAAAACCTCCAGCAACCTTTCCTTCATGTCTCATTTTTTAATTTATAGCCATGGTATTGTCATGTTCTGGGGGCTACGGCTGAGTTCATGAACCAATCACTGCCATGGGCAATTACCAAGACTGAACTAATCTAAACCTATTCTTAAATTTAGATTAATCAAGGCCCATCCCTGGAGCTTGGTCACTTCCCCTGATCCACAGGGCTGCTAAAAATAAGAAAGTGGAAAAGCTGTTGAATCAATCATATCTGTTAGAATAATACTCAAATATATGTAATAAAATTTTATATTCATAGCTATATGACACAGACAAATCAGTTATCCCTACTATCCTGGCATGAATGTTATTAAATTTCATAACTACAGTACTTCTCTGAAGGTAATTTTGTCTAGTGTTCAGCCATGAACCAGAAAATATGAAGGCAAAAAAGGGATAATGAACAACCCAGGTAGCTTCCATGACATCTCTGTGCTAAATTGTGATTGTCATTGCCAGGAGAGTCCCTGAGCCCCCAGTTCCAAAGACCTGACTTGTGCTCTAGCCTCAAATGATTAGAGACTACAAAGGAAGGGGTGGCCATATCAACAGCAGCAAGAACCACAGCTCATCCTGCACTAAGGGGAGCAAGTTTTTTTTTTTTCTCATTTACAGAGACTATACAATCTCGAAAAACACAGCTTCTGAAAGGCATTACATTTTGGGTTAAAACATCCTTCATGTATTTCAATAGCCTTTTAGAAAGCATCATATTTTGGCAGGACATCATACAACAATTCATGTACAAAATGATGACCTTGAGTCATCCCAACTCATGAGCAATCCATGAGGCTCCAGGCTGCATGCAGTCTGCCCAACTGACAACACAGCCCAAAATCTACGTTCAGGAGACAAGACCTCAACATTCCTTCCATGTTGCTTGAATATGGCCTGATATTAATTTTTTTTTATGACTTGAAAGCAGTGCCAGTTTTCTCATTAATATTTATCTAGTCAATAAAATAGGAAATCTA